CTTTATTGATTTAATACCCTATAAAAAAAGTTTGTTCAGTTATTGTAGGAATTGTCCGAAAAAATGTTCGGAATGGGCCAGTACGATATTATACAATTTTTATACTGTGATGTAAAAAAAAGAAATTTTCGTGTTGACAATATTAGGTATATACATTGTACAAAATCAGTACAATATACGATATGTTCGGAATATCGACTCCATTACGAACATTTTTTTGAACCAAAACAAAAAAAATTTTTAGAACATTGCCGACAAAATTTGGACAAAATTTTTTTATAAGGATAGTTTATCGAATAACTATTGAATCAATAAAGGTAAAAGATGATTAACATATAAACATGAACCGGTACTGGGGTTTATTTTGTCCGAATTAACCCGATCGGAAATATCGGAAGGGCAAAAACCCCATATATTACACGAAGTTTTTTATTAATTTAATGTAATAAAAGTACTATGTAAATCATATAAAGAAATGTGAAAATCTCTTGCATAGTTATAATAAAGATTTTTTTACTAAGTAAACTTTTTTTGGGTCTTTAACAAAAGTTGTAAAGTTTATTCAAACGAATCTAATAATAGTTGAAATATTAAAATCGTCCTACTAGATCAAGAGATACATGTAAATTTTTTATATATATTAAAGATATTTTTACATGGATCTCATGATTTAGTGGGCCAATTTTAACGTTCAACTGTTATTAGAATCGTCTTAATGAGATTTACAACTTTTGTTAGAGGTCTAAAAAAGTTTATTCGTAAAAAATAACATTTCTTATCTATATGATTTACATAGTATATATTTTGGAAACGTTACACTAAGTTGCTTTTACTGTTTACCCAATTAATATTTAATTAAAAATCTTAAACCGTACGTACCTTTTCTTTTGCTATGTTTTTACTAATTGTTTTGTGCAGAAAAATATAGCTGGTATGTGAAATGAATCTTTTTTTTTTTTCTAGTTTTCGCTCGTAAATTTAACGATTTTGCACAAAATCTGCACTGCTAATTTTTACTATGTTTACTATACCGATACACCTGAAATATATTGATCGACACACTTTAATCAAGTATAACGTGAGAAATCACACTTTTTGACAAATCACGTTCTACTCTTTAGCAAAATTTTGATATAAATTAAGTTTTGTTTCAATCATAACCCTAACACTAATATTGGATTTACTACTTCGGAAAATTGTATTCGTTTTATGATATGAATGCTCGAGAACGAAAACGTGTAAGTAAATATTTGACCCCCACAAATATTGTACGTTTGACCAATCAAATTCAAGATTAGGCTGAAGTTTGATTGGTCAAAATCGTACAATATTTGTGAATATTTTTGCTCGAGCACTCGTATGATTAGTTCAACCAACCATGTGGTGCATTTCTCACGGTACTACAATGATCATCATATAATGGGTTCCAGACACATTCCCGGTTTAGTTAGATTCGGAATTAATTGTTTAGATTTTTTACATGAAATTTAAAAGCGTTACAGCATTATTCAGCGACATATAACTAGTAAGATATGTATACGTACTTACAGAGAGCATGCATTTATTTTAAGTTTACTGAGCAAAATATAGATGGTATATTATTAAATATTTATCAGCCCAGTAATTTTAAAATTTTTATTAGTTTTTTAAATGCTGCTATAAAAGTTTCGAATTACAATGATTGTTTGTTCTACAGATTACCTTAGATAATTAACAAATTTAATGGTACCCAACACTTTATAAATATTTCATCTAGTGAAACGATCTTAATTAGTATAAGTATGTACAAAATTTTTCATCCTTACATACCATCCTATATATTTTTTTTTATTTATTCCCACTTTTAATCTACCTTCTTTTCCTATAAAAACAAAAAAAAAAATGGGAAACGCTTTAAAAAAGTTACGACCCAATAATCAAAATTGTGATAACTCTTCGAACTCAGTTACTATTTTCTCATATGGTCCTGACCATGAGCTAGATATTGATATAGAAAACTCTAGCTTAAGACATAATATTGTTCGTGAACTGTTCAAAGGGAATATTTCTTCTCCTATTCGTGATGAATTACAAAATGGAGGGCTTAGAATATTAGATGTTGGGTAATGATGTTATATGATAATTTGGTTTTAATTATTTGTTATATTTATTTATCTGTTTTTTTTCATTTAGATGTGGTTCAGGTACTTGGCTATTTGAAACATCATCCGACTATCCACTTTGTGAATGTGTCGGAATTGATAAGACAAAGCTTTTGATTGACAATAAACCAAAGAATGTGAATTTTGTTCTGGCTGACATTCTGGAAAGATTTCCATTCTGCGATAATTCATTTGACTTCGTATACGTGCGTAACTTATCATATGATCTAACGGAATCTCAATGGTCTCATGTAATTAATGAATGTATTCGAGTCTTAAAACCTAGTTGTTATTTTGAGGTAAATGCAAATGGTTTTATTTGCTTAGGTAAGTATGTAATATTTCTTTGACCCGTATTAATCATTTTATCATTTAATTAGGTAACAGAAACCGAGCTTTATATGAACAATACCGGACCTATTATGAAAAAAATGGTGGACAATGGTAAGAAACATAAATGTTTTGAAAAAATTAATGATATCGTTTCTTTTCTGATTACTAATGCACTTATATTATATAATAGTGCTCAAATTTCTTTCTTCCAAGGGTATAAATCTTCGAATAACCGATATAATTCAAGAAATTCTAGAGTCTACTCAAAAGTTACAGAAAATTACTCATATAGTTCGCCCATTTCCTATGGGTTCTTGGTGCAAAGAACTGAAATACGCATGCAAGACATATAGTTATGACATAATGCGTGGCATCTCTGCAAAATTTGGAGGTGTGAAGACAAAAAAAGTAAATGAAGCAAACTTACAAAAGCTTGTTGCAGAGGCCAATGAATATAGATCATATTTTAATATACACAAATTTTACGGAAAAAAAGTTTAATCAATTAAATATGTATATATAAGTCTCGATTCTGCAATTATTAAGGTTATGATTAATATAAATATGCTCTAAAATTATGTTTAAATGGCCATAACTCGAATATACATTAAATAATTTGTAATTTAGTATGTATTTTATTTATCAGTCTATTTAGTAATTTATTTTATTCTTATAATATTATTTAAACTAACCAGTGTAATGATACTCCCGTTATGGCATAAGAATTCTAATTTAAAATTTTTATGTTATATGAATTGAAATTTATTAATAAAAGGTGGGGAAACCACCCACTTAAGACTTAATACTCAAATTTTATACCAGTATATAAGTATGAAACTGAGCCAAAATACCGTGATTAGAGAATTAAAAATGCCACTGCGATCAGGGTTATTCAGTTATAAGTATGCTTGTAGGCCGAACCATGATAAACAGCCTCAATAAACAAAGCGAAATCCCATATCGACCGATTTGGTTTGACCCAAAATTAGCCAATCATGATTGTGAATTTTTTATTGACAAAGTAAGTTTTACAAAAACGGTCTTTTAAACTTACTTTGTATGTGAAATTTGATCATTAAAAAAAAAAAGTAATCACTAATTTCTGATTACTGATTTCCAATTTCTTCATTTTTTTTGACTTTTAGATTAGACAAAATTTGAGCATCTATTATTTTGTAAAAATTTTATTATTTCTTATAGAAATAAAAGTTGCATATTCATCATTTTGTAATATATTTGCAAAAATAGGTGTTGCCCATTAAAATATCCGATCAAATTTTTACAAATGATAAATGCGCAAATTTTGGAAATCAGTAATTGGAAATTAGTGATTACTTTTTGCAAACCACAATAATTGGCGAGTATAATTGTTATTGATTTTCATCAAAATTATCAATTTACTTTAATTTTTTTTTATTTATGCTGATATAGTCTACCTTATTATTTCTTATTTGTTTTAGCCAATGACCATTGATTTATTAACATGTTAAAAATAATATAAACACAGTGTTCATAAAATTGTACAAAATAAGAGTAGAATCCCATCACCATTACTCCAGATTGGTTGCACCCATCATTTCACCACAAATTAATTTTGATTAAATAAGTATTCTAGACTTTAGGTTTCAAGTAAACCTTTAGATTCCGCCAATGAAAACTAGTCTTCCAAAACAATTCTAATTCTTGATTTTTGTTTACGAATTCTATATCATACCTTGTTAAGAGCGCTACTAAAAATACTTTAACTTCGACCACTGCCCAAAGTCTTCCCTGTTATTGTAAATTAAGAGCAGGTGTTTTAATAGTTGAATATATAAATTTTATGAATATATAAATTTTATAAATGTACAAATCATACTAATTACATACCGGACAAGATTTAGCACCCCCACCAAACGGCACAAAAGCACCCTTGTTATTGGCTATCTCAGCATTCTTTGATCGTATACTATCATTATTTCTTAAAAATCTATCAGGATCAAAAATTTTGGCATCAACCCAATCCCTTTCATTAGACTGAATTCCTTGAAAATTTCCAAAAAACGAATGGCCATCTTTCCAAATATATCCACCAATTTCCACAGGTTCAGAATTTGATCGGGGCATTACGGGAATTATAGGATGTAGGCGAAGAACTTCGTTTATTATAGCATCACAATACTGAAGTTTTTCGATATTTTCGTAGAGAATCTTTTCAGGAGGTGTTACCAGAGAACCAAATATTGAGCTGATTTCTGAGAGAAGTTTTGATTTTACAGAAGGATATTTGCACACATAATATATTGTCAAGCAAATAGCAGTTGCGGTCTATCAATTAAGAAACACTAATAAGTTGATTATATTTATACTTGATATTTATATTATTTGAAATAAGTTACCGTTTCAAAGGAACCTAAGAAAATATCCACCAAAATTCCACCAATTTCTTGATCATTTAATGATCGGTCTAAAGATTTAAATAAAGTTCTTGAAGGATCACGTTGTGTGTTGGCGGTAATAAGTAATGACAAAGCATCCGATGGTATCTGGGCATCTTCAGGCAATGAGTCAATGTATGCACGTCTTTCTCGGACTATTTCAAGTACAATGTTGTTTAGGTTTGTTACAGTTTTTAATAATCTTTGATTAAAGAAGTTTATGCCAGGAAAATGTCTTATAATGGATGGAACCACAAGGAACCCTTAAATTTAAGAATAATAAGTTTATGAAGATTGACAAGATTCATTAGTGTCCAAAACAAATATATAGTATGTGAGGGTAGTTTTTTATGTATATTGTTATGATAAAGTATAGAGGGTGATAGAATTCAAAAATAGAAATTATAACAATTATTACTAATCATTTTCATTCTATCACCATCTATAGATAAAAGCGAAAGCAATTTTGTTGGTTGTACTACTCGCGCGACCGAAGATTGGCCAAATGTAGAATTCATCGGAGCTAGGTCGGCATTAAGCAACAATACTAACAATTTCATTACATCTGGAGTTGCTTTGTTAGCGGGTTGTCTAAAGTGGGGATAAATCATATGAAAATCAACCAATCAAATTGTGGCAAATTTGATGCAAAAAAGTGAGTTATCTCCACTTTAGACGTCCGATCCGACCCAAAATTTTGGTCCATCTTCTGAATTTGGTTGGCAAATAATCTGTTCATAACTTGAAAACTAGCCATAACGAAAACGAAATGTCGGATCATGATATCTACTGCCAATTAAATTTTTAGGACATGCCCCTAGATACTATAATTATCTAACTTAAATACCATATTTTCGCGCATGCGCGTTATTTTGAAAAGTAACCTGACTTAAACTTGACTTAGGCCAAAATTTGAAATTACACCCCTGCGCGTGATTTTGCAACGTAACTCAAATAAAGAATTTCATCCGTGCCCAACTCGTGAGTGCAGCATAAACTTGGTTTCATAAAATGCAAATATCTTTTACAAAATCACCTGCATTCTAATTAAACTATAATCCTATACTATAATTTATGTTCTCCTGATTCTAACCTTCACCTAATAATACCACTGTGTCATATTTGAGTATGTATGATTGTTTTGATTTTGGGTTTAGGATTGGAAATTTCATCAATCACACGACTGTATGTCGTTTCCGTCATGGCCAGCGTCTTAAAATCATTCACATCTCTAACCCACATTCTAGTGTGTTTGCAAAATACTCACATGGTGTTATACTAAAAATAGAAAGGACGGCAGAAATTAATCTCGAAGATTGCTTCCATTTCAAAACCGGGATATGATCGTGATTATACTCATATCCAAGCGAAATAAAATAATTCATCATCGAATAAGCCGGTTGACCAGTCACTGTCATGAGCATAGCATCTCCTGCAAACTTTGGTATCCATTCGGCCAGGTCAATCTCCTGCCGCTTAGTAATCAAAACATCCCATAACTTAAACATATCCAAGATTATATTATTTCCTTTTTCCGTAAATTCCTTTAAAAACCTTTTTGACATTACGGATCTTTCCAAGAATCTACGATTGATTTTCCATTCATCTAAATTTCTGTTTGCAATTACTCCACGTTGTTCGAGGCCAATTTCTTTTAATCCAGGATTTGGCGAATCACGATAGAGGAATTTATGATTGTGTGCTACAGACAGGGTATAAATTGGGAGTGCTATGTCGCTTCTTGAGATGATAATAATACGCCTAGGACCCATATGAATTTCACACATATCTCCATATTTTGACTGAACCGCCCTTACGTATTCAGAAAGATTTAAGTTGTATCTAAATAATTCAAGAGCATTTCCCAATAGGGGTAGCGGGAATGGACCGGGAAGTTTATTTTCTCTGGTAAAGTATTGATGATAGTATTTAATTATGTAGAAGCATAGCAGAATGAAAACTAAACCTGGAATGTCAGAGAATACTTCTGCAGCAGTTATGTATTTAAAACCCATATTACATACAGAAAGCAAATCTTTTTGAATTTTGAGATTCTCGAAATTGCACTTATCATCATTTAATTTATTTATCAGATATGCGTCACACTAGCAATTTCAAAGAAATGCAGGTATACTTATTTGAGTAATACCGGAAATTCATTTTGTAAATTACCGGAATTTCATTTTGTAAATAAAACTAGATAAATATGAAATAGTCAAAATTTGCGTACATACTATTACGGCTATT